GCGTTTTGGTTGAGGACGTGGATGGAGATGATATCAAGACTGCTGAGGTTGTTCCCGATGTGACCGAGAACGGCAACGTCTATTGCGTTCCCGCTCAACCATGCTAAACGAACCTTGGACTACAGCCGAGATAGACATCAGTGAACCATGTGTGATTGGAGGTTGAGTAAACTATTCCTAGGCTTCTACTAGTATTTGTACATGTTCCTTTTGATATCCTTGATTCTCCCGTAAACATCCTCCCTTGTTGAACCGCTATCGAAGAGTACATGAGGCGTGATATAGTCGTAGCCCACCCCCCGCCTCCGTCTGACCATACTCTTGAAGACCGCATCCATGGAATTGTCCCTTTTGAGCCACGGTCCTAGCCTTTCACTTTCTACAGCGATGTGCTGATCCTGCTGCCGGACAAAAGACAGGACCGACGCGGCCAGGCCAGCGGCGATTGGTGTTGCGACAGATGTTCCTGACATAACATTGACAGTCTGATCGTGTCCGTTCATGCCAGCCGGCCAGTGAGAAGAGACATGCTCCCCAAGTAGACTGAAGTTGACATCCGTTTCGCTTGCTGTAGGGTTGAAACTGGAGGGATTGCCATTTCCATCGGTTGAGTGTATGCAAAAGACGCTGGGGTATTGGGCCGGAAAAGCTCTGCCAAGATTTGCTCCATCATTCGATGCTGCCGCGAACAACAACGTCTGCTTGTTCAGTGCATTAGATATAGCTGTGCTCATGAGATCGTGATATTCACGAATCCCGAATGACATTGATATGATGTCCACTTTCCATTGTTTAACTGCATGATCGATGGCCTGCACAGGTCATTAGCTCAGTCCAAAAAGTCTGCTCTGGTATAGAGACAGCCTTGCCTTAGCAATGTCATCGTAGGTATTGGGATCCAGAGTTTCACGTTGCGCAATTCTGGCGACATAAATCTCAGCGCATGGTGCAACTTTGAGAAGGAGGCCAAGAGCATGAGTGCCGTGCCCGATCTCGTCTCGAACGTCGTGCGGTCCTGTTCCATGTACAAAACTTCGCGCTTCCTTGATTCGTGGGTTGGCTAGTTGTTGGTCCTCTATCAGAAATGGATTTTCAGGGTCGAGTCCGGAATCCAAAATCGCTATCCGCACCGGTTCGGCAAGGTCGAAAACAGGGTCAACATAGGGATAGATCGAGGACAGCAGATTGTCCATCCATCTTTCCGAGAGCGGATTCCTGGCAGGTCATTAGTACAACGAAGTCTTATAGCCAATGGGAAACACCTCACTCTTGTTCAGGACCTGTCTGGCGACTTGCATCAAAAAAGTACAAGCTCATGTCTGAAGGCTCGGCGAGGTGTCCGTGGGCTTGCGATCCCGAAGAAGGTTGTGCCGACATCCGTAGCACGATATCCGAGTGGAGGGATGCGTAGCTCACGGGCGCGGTGTCAGACATTGAACGATGCGAGCTTGCCCTTGCAGTATTGTTTGCATCAGAGGAATCGACCTTGCCTGTATGGAGACGGACAATTTCTCGACCGATAGAGCCCCAGCAGGATTCATTCTGTCGAGAATCGAATGAGCACAAATTCTCTAATCGAATGCCCCATGCCTTGAATATCACGGCCTCAAGTCGTTTGACTACGTTTTGGTAGAAGAGCCGCTGAACGCTGACATCCTCGAAGTCAGCGTGCTGTCCAAGGGGATAGTACTCCCCAGTGAGGCATGCCTTCGTAGCGAGATAGTAATCCACGCCAGCGTCGTCTTCCAGAGTCTGAAGCTTATCGAGACAGGTATAAAAATCATCATTGACGTTCCTGGCGGCACGCGGGTCCTTGGCCAGCAGATCCACAGGTGTGCAAAAGTGAAGCTCGCATAAGAGTATGCCTAGCGCTAGCACACTGGCGTTGGGATGAACCATGTGTTTCAAGGCGCCAGAGCTGTCACCGGTGTCTGTGCTGCGGGCTGAGATGATTGGAACGTGCTCCAGAGCCAGGAAAGGTTTCGTGATGTCAGGGAGTTCTCCATCCTGCCGTGGCTCAAAAAACTGGATCTTCGAGTGATTGAAGGAAAACTGCAGCCACGGTGTCTCCAAGAAGGGAAGGAGTGCTGAAGCCAATGTAACAGCCAAGACTCGCTTCCCCTTGAGTGGCAGTACCGATTCACCACGAAGTAATTCTTGCTGGCGATTGAACAATGCCGACAAGGATACTGTCCGAGACATTTGGTCACTACCAAATGTCTTTGGTTGGGGGCGAAGCCTCTGAAATATCCCATCCTCGAGAGCGAAATGCAAGCAATTTCGCTGACCGAGGGACTCTGTAATGTTTTGGCATATGTGGGCAAAGTCGGGTGTGCTGCTAATTGGAGGCTCAGATGAGCGCCTCAATGTGCTGTTGTGTAGGTCTCTGCACCGGCAGTGTTAGCGAATAAAAGTCATCAGACAAAGCTTCTAGAGCTTACTTGACTGTGATTTTAGCTTCTTGCAATGCAGTTGCAGGTACGGACCGCACGCCGAAGAATACTTCGAAACTCGCCTCAGCCTCGAGATTCTTTTTGTGTTGTGGCAGCGACAGTCTCACGCTCAACCCTGAGCACTTCTGGCAAACGCAAACCCAGTGTCTTCGCAACGCATTGTCCAAGGACACCAGATGTCTCCTCATCAGCACGGCGAAGTCGGCATCGGGGTCTTCGAGATTGGACCCATGAGTTGACTCTTCACGAGGCAGAACTCGGCGCTTCTTTCTCTCCTGTTCCAAATGCAAAAGTTCCTGAATGGCATCATCGCATTCTCGTCTCCGTTTACTAACGCGAATGACAATGCCTGGGTCAGCATGCGGGTCGTGATTCGGATTCTCGGTCATGCGGCGAAGCTTCGGATACCGCTCGTGTCCGGGTTGTTGGAAGCTCTGCCCGCGAACTGTCGTTAGTGGGCAGGATGTGAGAGGCCAACAGACCGAAAGACTGAAGAGTTTGTTGTATGTCAAGAATACCTACGAAATCTGTCTCTCGATCAGAGTCGTCCTGAACAAGATGTTCAAATGCGCGCAGAGTCCTTGAAATGCTCTCTGGGTCAGCTTCGCCAAGATCATCGCGCTGCAGAAATGCATCCGTCCGTAGCCAGGCCTCGCGTTTCCGTGATCTTAGCGACGCCGGCTTCGCCGACCTTTGCGGTCGTTTTCGAGCGAATAATCCAAGCACGGATTGCAGCAGGCTTTGGGAATCAGTGTCGTCGTTCATGGTTGGGCATCCGAAATGATGGGTTTCAAGACTTCACTGGGATTATTTGGCTGGAAGAACATTGGTCGATGAGCGGAAGTGTGCTGTGTATTGATCAGATCAGGCTGTGCTACATTCACACCCCTAGAACTTCAGGACGACTTGGCGTGCTTTGGTCTACGATCCTTTGCTGCAACCTGACCGTCACAGCGGTGCAGCTGAGCCTTAATGTGTGCTGGCCCGCCCCGGAGTAAGCAAAATCATCCCGTCAGCTACTTTTGTGGCACAGCTCGAGTCATTGTGGAAAAGCCGCCCCTCCATCTCAAACCCGAGGCAGCCGCGGGGAGGGCTTAGTGCGTGTCAATTGGAGCGCGGCAGTTTTTGCTATGCGGTGACGCATGGATCGTGAGCCAGTCCCATTGGGAGGACGGCGACCGCTGCGGTAATTATGAGACTCGGACGAAAGCTTCCGAAACCGGCTATAGTAAGCTTCTGCCATTACAGTATCTACCGAGGGTTTGCGTGAAGATGTTGGGTCAGAGTTGGTAGGCGAGATCTTGGAGCCGGCTTGCCGCCCACGACTAGCCGCCCTAACGGTGTGACGTAGGATGTACGATGAAGTAGAAGGAGTGAGAGTTCTATCGTTGAAGAATGCGAAAGAGTTGTGTCATTGATGTCCAACTCGAGATATTGGTCGCTGAGGCGCCTTGGAATCCCAAGAATCTGAGCAGACGGAGCAGGGGGAAGACCCTCTTCAGCGGCCAAGATACTTGGACTGGCGGCAATATGGATGGCCTGTTGCCCCTGCTGAGTTTCTGCTAAATCACTGGGGAGACTACGGCTGTTGTTTCGCGACTTCAGCAATAAAGGCCGGGCTGGAACTGGAGTATATTGGTCGACTGGGCGCTCATCTTATTCTCCGACTCTGCGCGCCGAGATATGAACTCCAGATGGGCTTGCCATAATATGCGCGTGAAGTTCCCAACGCACCGCTTCAAAGCAGCTGTGGCGGTGTGGTGACAGATGTCACGTAAAGGCATCAAGCACTTGCTGGCATTGGTTTAGTGGATGAGATGCCATTCGCTGCACATGATCGAGATTGATCACCCTCACTGGCGCCGCAGGGAAAAGGTGAACTTTGACCACAATCTTCAGTCCAGGACTGACAAAGAGGCCACAGTTAGGCTTCTCGTCTACTTCTATCACAACAGTCGTTTTTGGGATTCATTGGATCACAGTATGCAAAACAAAACACCCAGTCTTTAGAGCCCTGGTCTTGTTAGCGGGCTTTCTCATTTAAACGGCTATTTTCGTTTGTCCTCACTGTCTGTTTCAATCTACAACTCTCGGGCTGGCCTCCATTATGGTGCAAGGCTTCGCTAACGACCTCCCATCTAGGGCGATTATGTATCTGATTCACCACATATCCCTCCCACTCAAACTCCCACAAAAAGATGCTTCTGATAAGTAGTATGAGTGGACGTGTTGGGAATATCCGAAGGCGTCATCAAGGCACATCGCACGAAATATCTCTGTCCGCATTGCGAGGCATCCACCGCAAGACGCAATGGACAGCCCCGAGAATGAAGAGCGTTCACTTTGGGAGCGAGCAATTGCCCATCCCGAGACAGAGCAGTCCAACCTTCAATACAGTTTCAATCTGCTCGATGAACACCCTGAAGCTGACACACATCCAGTGTATGACAGGTTGTGAAACCTTGCAACAGTGCAGTCACGTGTGTGTACATTGCGCATAAGATAGCAACATGAAATATCTGGTGCGAGCTTCCCCAAATATCAAATTTACCGGGTGCCAAACGCTCCGGAATCCGGAACTGCAGATGTTCGTCAGAATTGTCTCTCACTGAATGGGACAAGCGGTGAGCGTGCAGACATACCGCGTACAAGCTAACTCCGGTGCCATAGAAAGTAAGCTCGAGCAGATACCATTTCATTCCCGAGTACTGGAGCATGTATTCCAGCCCATATCGCTGGACTCCATGGAGCAGGGGTATGAACGATGAAGCGCCAAAAACAACGAAGGCGCCCACCTTCACTTTCCGCCAGCGCGGCGTTCTTAGAGAGGGATTCGAGATCAGAACACCGGTAACAGTGCCTGTGGTTAAGATCTGGAATTTATGTCAGCATATTATTGGATTTGACCTGGCTGCCGGGAGGGTGTGGTGAGCGGTGACGGTCACTCTGACAGACTGACAATAGCCCAGTGCAATTCTTGCAAAACCGCTTCACAGAAGAACACATAGTAGATTCCTGAAGAGAATGTGCCCACCGTCACAATAACAATACCAAGAAGATCCATTCCATGCCAGAACAGCTCTACGTGATGCGAGTGGGGCTGTATCAGGTGGTAAAGTGTGCTTAAGATCAAACAGGCCTCCGCACACCAGAAGTAGATTCCAAACATAGCATAGTCCATGGACAAGACATGGAGAAATTGAGGCTGGGCCAGGTACCGCAGGAAGGCGGTTGCAACGAGTGGCAGGAGAAGAGCCCCGACCAGATGAGTGTACACATTGCACGTCTCGTTGTGCAAAAAGGTTAGGCTGGTAAAGATCTCCCAATAGTCTGCTTTCTCTGGACGATAGCCACTGAGGATGTACTTGTTGTCGAGTTGCCATTCAGGAATCTCCTGCCACGTTACGGTTCGCGCTTTAGCCTTTGACTGGGTTGTGGAGTCGTTCGTGGTGCTCATATTGCCGTTTGGCACTAGCCGTTTTTTGAGTTCTGCTCCTGACATGATTCTTCTCCCGAGATATCTGAGCTGCGCTGACGATGAAGCACAGGAGGAGTAGATGGAGACGAAATACCCAAGGGCCGAATTTCTAAAGAAGGGCAGAGGAGGAGATAAATGTCGCAAAGAAAAGTCGCTATGCAATAGCAAGGGACGCGCCAGACTTGCGACAGAGTGATTGTCGAGGATTTCAGGGGAGAAAGAATGTCTTGAACCATTTATCTAAGGCAACAAATAATAGGCGTGAGGGGAATTGGACATGAAAGACCAAATTACGGCAGAAGCAATCACTGGTGTACCTTCACCTCTTCGACTGCACTACACTGTACTGCAAATGAATGTCATTGGCAGGGCAAGCACAGCAGGGCAGGCATGCATGCATGCCTGCGACAACACGCCGTCCCGCCGGTGGGCAGCTGGGGGAGCTGTGCATCTATGACGATGGTGATTCGCTCATCTCCGGGCAAGCACTCGTTGCTTCTTACCATACGGAGGTTTCAGGGGTATCTTTTGACCAAGCACAGGTACCTCTGGGAATGTTAGCCAGTGCTTAACGCCGAAAAGTACATTTCGCCCGCAACTGTTTATGCAATGTTCCCAGCGACCCTGTGAAGCCGAGATTTGATTCTCGCGCCTTTGACGAGCTCCATGCCCGTGACGAGGAAGAGCGAGACAACAGGTGCGAATCGTTGCTTGGGCTACACTCTCTTGTGCCTGTCACACTGCCACACCAGGTTTTGTGTTTATCCCCTTGATGGGGCGAAGGCGGCAGCGAAGTACCTCAGGCCCTTGAAGCAGCCCGGCAAAACCCTGTAATCAAGAAGCTAATTTTTCTTTCTAGCGGACGGCAGGTAATGTATTTATGAGCAAAAGCTGCTAACTGGCTCTAATCCCTGAACTGTACTTTGCTGTCGCCGTCGCGGCATCAAGGGGATGCATCCGGGTTTAGGACCTTGTCACACCGACTTTGACCCTCTTTGCTTAGCACGCATTGCTTCTACCACGTCATGGCGATCCTATCACTGTTAAGGACTAGCGTCCAGCGTGTCTGTGCGTGATCGTGTGGGCGGAGAAGGTATTAGGACACGGGTCGGCCCGCCAGAATCCGCGGGCAAACGGATCTTGGAGTCAATCTTGACGCTAGTCCTCAGTAGGGTAAGTATTTCTGAACGTGATTTCTTGGAGTATCCGACATGTTGGTATTCCGTTCTCGAGAGCTGCACCATAACGATAATGGTGGCCAAGGTCGTTAGACTGAGAAAGCAGCGGGACACGAAACGGGGCAAATTGGTCGCTGGCATGTTGGTCTCACCAAAATGCAAAATGGGACAGGCTCTGAATCGGTCTAGCCGAGCCGCTGGTGGGACCATTACGGAGGTTTCATGGGTATCTTTCAGCCCAAGATTAGGTACCTCTAGAAAGGTTGGCCTGCGCTTAACGCCCAAAAAGTACAAAAGAGGAGAAATACTCCTCGCACTGTAGGTACGTACATTTCACCCCCAAACAACACATCACTAACCCAACGCCAGCGCTAATGTACACCAGGAAGCAACAAATATCAGCCAGGGACAGCCATACAGCGTCAATATTGACCTAGTAAGTGGTAGCGGATGTACTGTATATATCTCCTGCTACGGTATTAACATCCCGTAAGAGACTGTAACAGGATGAGCCCCAGGGGGGCTGGGCTGGCGCAGTCGCCTTCCGTCCCGACTTGCCTGGATCCACCACAAGCGAGATTGTCACCAATTACTTCTTTCTTTGTTTTGTCTTCTCTTTCTTCCTTTACTTTAGATACTCGTCGTCAATACATTCGCTTGGACCGTTACAACAAGAAATGCTATCAACTGTCCATACGCATTGCAAGCCAGACCGACCTCAGTCAACATGTCATGGTTGGATTGCACTACATCACGCCGCCTTCATGGGGCATTCTCACATTGTCCGGCGCTTCCCAGAAGACGAGCGCGTAAGATCCAGTGCCTCTCAGCAGGATGACCATGGCTGGTCCGTCCTTCATCTGGCCATTCGTAGTCGATATCCTGCTTGGCAGCTCTGTTATTGAGCCTCTGGCCCTGTCAGATGAGAGCGGTCTCACTGCAGAAGAATGGCCAGATGTTGGGCCAACTAGCCATTCCTAAAAAGCGACCAGTAACTTAGCTTTTAGCAAGTCACGCTGTTGCAGGGCGGTCACAGGCTTACGACAGGCTGTTATCACTGGCAACGTTCCCATGATCAAGCTCCTCTTCAGATTGGGTCATACCGTTAATGAAATGAATTCCGGAAGGACTGCGCTCTAATACGCTGCGAAGAAGCGCATGTTTTTCATCACGGACATGCTCCTTGATAGGGGTGCGGATCCGAATATCCTCTCAGCAGGAAGCAAAACGTGGGAAGAATTTATCTCGGATGACGACATCTTACAACGGCTCGACCGAGCTGGTTATGGAAAGAGAGGTTCTGACCCTGAGATAGAGTTGTCGGATAATGCCTCTGTAGACTGAAGTCGCAGAGCTTGGAGTAATTGCTAGATGTCATAGCGTCGGCTATCATGAATAAACTTAGCCGAAAGTTAAATCCGGACGAAAGGAAGTTTTTTTGCTATCAAAAAGAGAGCTGCAGACGGAGTCTCCAGCACCAGGAACAACAACAATAATGATTTTATCAACAAGCTTAGTTAATATGAGTCTCATAACGTGACAAGAGTGCCAGATCAGAATTGCACTTAGAGCGCAAGGCCAGCCCTTTGTTCCGGATCGATCAGCATCATTTGTACCGGACGAGCCAATTTCATCAATGCCGGACCGATCTACCTCCCCTGTACCAGACCGATCGACCTCGTCTGTCTCGGCTCCGTCAGTACCAATCTTTCCCGGATCATTCAGCGTCAGTGCCAACACGCTCACTGGCGCCTACACACCAAATATATGACCATAAGCGCAAAGCGGAGTCAGTCCGGTCGAGCGCGATGAGCTTTTGGAAACGGGTGATAAGATAGTGAATTCAGCTCGCAGAGGCGACAGTGGGAAGCGATGGTTGTAAATTATAGCTTGAGCTGTAATACTATGTACTACCTCCCGAGTCATTTGCTTCGTAGGAACCGCTACATTAGATGCGACTCTCACCTCAATGCTGTAGGTAGACTCCTCCCAAGAGCAACAGGACAAACAACACGCGACAGATTTTCAGCGCAGGTCCGACTATTAGCTCTTGCTTTGCTCTGCCACTCCTCAGGCAGGAACGCTGTGTAGAGGTTCATAAACCAACGATCCAATTTATCATATTTTCGACTCCTGGCAATGAGTGCAGATGCTGTTTCACCCTTTGCGTCAGTGCCACCGCAGGCAGCGCCAAGCCATATTGCTTTCCAATGATCAGGCATTCCACAAGGGCTTTGCACGTTAGCTTCCGGAGCAATCCTGGCGGTTGCTTTGATATCAAGGCACTCATTGCCTCTGGGATTGCCTCGCCAATCAGCCATCGGTGGGCGATGGCATTCTCCTGACAGAGAATCAAGCATGATGCGGAGGGTATGTTGAGAAAGCGGTCCCGTCCCTTATCTTGAGAACGCTGAGCAAATTGGAGAATACTAGTCAGGAAGAGAAGCAATCTGGGGGAGTCGTGGTTTTTGCTGATGACGATCAGCTCATTGGCGCATGCCTGATTTGCATCACTGAACAATTCAACCTCGTGGCTGCCGCCAATGTATCCTTCGTAGAATTCTGCGATTACCCTGGAGAAATACTCGATCGGCCGTGGTTCCTTGTTCTCGAGCATGGCGAAGTGCGATGTCAAGAGTACCACAGTCCGAGCTACGTTCTCTTCCCGGTTGCCACTTCGGATGCAGGCATCGAAATCATTCAAGAATTCGCGAACGCCGTAGTGCAAGAACTCCTCTGCGTCTCTGTTGTAGGCGATGGCGGTCCAATGTGAAAATGCCCTGGCTGTGATGGTATCTCCTTCTCTCCATCCATGTCGAACGGCCGCGAGTTTAGTTTCCGAGCCAACGAGTACCGCGATTACCAGCAGCGCCTGAAGATCTCCAGGAGCGACCGCCCGAAACACCTGCGTCGGCAAGTCGGTCATGGCCGTCAGCCTTCTACGGTTCCTCGCAACAACCAGCTGGACGAAGAACTCGCGATATGCTTCGGCCCATTGTCGCAGTTCATCCGTTCTGTTCTCCTTAACGAGCTCCTGCAGTACAGACATATGCTCCCACCGGTCGAATGCCACAAATTTCAAATATAGTGTCATCAATTGAAGAATGATGGGAAAGCGGAAGGACAGGCTCAGGGTCTTCATGACCATGTCGACCTTTCGCGACGCCTGCTTGTACCGTGCCAGGAAAATCTGTTCCTGAAGACCCAATAGCTCTTTCACCCGCTCTTCCAATGGGTCCGTAGGTCCTCTCAGGGAAACAACTCCTGGAGGAGTTGGCAATTCGTTCACGCGTGCCCCGCGTTTAAGCAATATCTGGATGATTTCCTTCGAATTCGCCTGAATGGCTCGAATCAGTGCTGTGTCGCCATGCTCAGTCTTACTCTCGAGACGGGCACCTTGGTCGAGCAGCACACACACGATGTCCTTGTGCTGTCCAGTGACCGCGATATGGAGTGCCGTTAACTTGCTTCGATCTTTCGCATTGACCCGAGCACCACGGTGAATCAGCAATTCTACCATGTCTCGGTGGCCTCTGTTGACGGCCCAGGAAAGCGGCGCCCGGCCGTAGTTGTCTTTTTGCGAAATGAGGCGGGCATGCCCGCTGATCAACATCTTGGCCCAGGCTACATTACCAAGGTACGCAGCGAGATGCAAGAGCGTGAACGAGGGCGGGTTTCCACCGTTCTTCTCCTGCTCCCAATAGAATTTCCACCATTCGTCCCGGATTCGAGAATCGACTTGAAAGAACGGACGTGAGAACTCCGACGGTGCATCAATCACATCAATGGCGTGATGGAAATGCACTGGCCAATATTGACTGGCATAAGGCAAGAGAAAATCGCGGCCAGACTTCTCGTCAATCCTTTCTGGAGTTCTGTAACCACGTTCGACATGTTCTAGGCAGGTCCGCATAAGAGTCCTGTGGGTGTGCCGGCTCATGCGGAACATGCTGATCCCTTTGATGTTGACTTGATCGCTCTGAAAGAACTCCTTCGCCGACTCGTGGACCAGGTTGACTACACCTCCTTCGATTTTCACGAGTAGTCCACAGAAGCTGAGCCGATTCTTGATCACCTCAGTTTCCGGAAATGTACCAGATGTCTTGATCCCTGTGGCCACGGTCAATTCGTCCACTGTGAGGGGCCGGGCAGCGAGAACAATCCATTGAAGAATGGGGACCAGCCCGTCCTTGTCGTCGATTTGCTGAAGCAGCCGCTGATAGACCCCACCAAGGCCTTTAGGAACACGACGGAGAATTTTATTGATTTCGCCCCAGCTCTTGCCTTGAAGCTCATTGGCAACGAATCCAACCCACAAAAAGGTACCATCAGCGCCAGCCAACAAGGCTCGATGAACTTGTGCAACCATTTCTTCTGAAAGATTTTGCTCGGATGCCAGTTCGGCAACTTTGGCGAAGATGTATCTTTTGACATCATGCGAAATCTCCGTATCGGAGTCGTCCAACTTGATCTGCTGATATTGGCCGAGTTTGCTCTCCAAAATAGCTGGCTGGGGTCGGGAGAGAAGAATTAGCTTTAGTCGTGGCCTTGACTTTTCCGGAGAGTTTGACAAATAATTCCCAACGGCATCGAGAAGCTGGCTGAGCGATTCCTTTTCGCATTCATCCAGACCGTCCAGCACACAGACTACCTGGGAAGACCCACTCTGCCGAAGCAGGGTTAGGAAAACCCTCCACAAGGAGACAAAACTGGAAACGGTATATTTGGTTGTTTCCGTTCCCTCAAAGGAGTTCTTGATATATTGTGCCATGTGTGGATGGAGGCCGATCCATTGATGTATGATGCCTCTCATTATGGTTAATCCCGTATTCCGGTTCTTATCACGGTTACTACAGAAGTAGTAAAGAAGAACATTTTCGGCGGCGTCAACCACTGGCTGTAGCACCGCTGTTATATAAATTGCCAGCATAGTTTTCCCTTTTCCAGGGCCACCGGAGATCCAGAGGAGTGGTGGACTGGCGTCTGCCAGCCACTCTCGATAGCTGGGGTGTTGTATGAGCCATTCGCAGGTGCCGTCAACTCTGCGCCCTTTTAATGCAATAAGGGATTTTCGGTCAACTTCGGGTCTGGTCAAGAGCAAAGCGTCGAGGACCGGCGCCGCCTCGGCATATGTGTTTGTTGCCAGAGGTGTCGTTTTGGGAACCCTGGGAATGAACGAAAGGACCTCTTTGGCATATGCTGCAGCAGCTACTGCGGCATAGGCGTGCCAGAGCCTGGAACTGTGGGAGTCTGCATAGTCGCAGATTCCTCGAATGACCAAGTACTGAGCGGCATCCTTCAGGCCAGCCGCCTCCGTCTCCAAACAGAGAACGCCTTTCCTATGCGCCAACTTGTCCCGAGCCGCTCCGTGGCGCATCAAATGATGGCCGGAGGCAATCAGGCCATAATGAACTATAGGATCCTGTGTTTCCCGTGGCCGCCGGGGCTGGATCCTATCCGGGTTGCAATGATTACATCCGTTCTCTTCAGACTCGATGGTTGTGTGATCATAATTTGCCTCAAAGAGGACGTCGTGCTCTGGGCCTGGATGGGCAAAGGTGATGGGGTCTTTCCGCACGATCTCGGAGATGTACTGGGGTATCTGGCTTTCATCGAAAATGGCGGCTGTCTCGGCCTTGCCCGTAGCTGTGAGAAGTAACCGAGTTGGCTGATCTAACGCTCTGCCGCGAATAAACTGATCTTCAGCTCGCTCCGCATTCAGGTCGTATTGGACGACACCCGGCCAGCCAGCTGTCGATTTGCTTACAACGATGTCGCCAAGACGAATATCCCCTTTCGTGTCTGGCACTCCTCCCGCAATGCCAACCATTAGATTGAATCGGATAGATTTGAAGTTCGCGTGCAACTGCGTGGCCACGCTCGCCACAGACGTTTTACCATACACGCCGAAATTCGGATACGCGAGTACGACATTATGGCCTTGGAGACTCCCTAGAATGTAGTTATTGTTGTCGTCTGAGTCCGGACCTGGAGGAAGGTTGCCGTGAATGCGATCAAGGGTCGCTTTGGCTGCCGCTACCTCTATGGGCAGTGCGCAAACCCACCCGACTGAGTAGTCGTCACGGGACGCCATCCCCAGGCAGAGCACAGATCCGCAGGGAGATAGAATGTCAATGCCGACGTGTCGTCCTAGTTCGTAGCTGCTTGGACTGTCTGTCAATGTAAGGGACGAAGTCGACCTTCTGGAACAATGCGCGGACTGGTGTTGGGGAGCAAAGCAAAGCAATCAATCAATCAATCAAGGAGTGGAGCAGCGAACACGCGGGGGAAAGACGGGCTTTTGACTAGCTTCAGCCCTGGACCTCCTGCCGAAAGCTACGCAGTTGCGTGTTGAGTGGCGAGGATGGCGTTTGGGGTGTCCTGTAGGATGCGGGCGATACACCAGTGTCGGTAGTCTCTGCACGAGAGCTGTCTCGGAGCAGGGCTGCACAGTCGCCTTGAGCTAAGTTTGGCGGAGAATAGACACCGAGATGAAAGGGATCCGGCGCACATGGCGGGCTGGTTGCCATCGCCGCCGCCGTGATTCTCAAAACTTGCAATCCCGAGGCCACAAACAGTAATGTCAAAGCTCGCATCTAAATTAAAGCGGTCGAAACACTTTTCTTGTAGTTAGAATCCAAGGGAATGACAGCAGACATGTCATTGGAGGGTGTCGAAGGATTTTGAGGCCAATTGAGTTCACCCATGTATCTAGCCGTGGTTGCAGGAGGGAAATGGGGCCAGCGCCTATTAACTGCCAATGAGATAGCATCAGATCCCTGAAACATTCGAACAAGGGGCGGCTCGCACAACTGGTGCTGCCTCAACGTCAGGGGTCGCATTTCCTCGTCCTGACTGATCCAATCCTCGAGCTGCATTGAAAACCACATGACTTGCACTTTGAAGTCTAGCTATCATAGGAAATATGTTTGTCGCCTGTTGTAGCATTTTGCACAGACATATGGCGGCAAGTTGGTATGACGAAATATCCAGCCTCGTGTCACAGCTAGGCGGCGCGGCATGACAAGCTTGTTTAGGACACGCGCAGACGGCCTACTCTTGCTTTGGTTTATCACTCCCCTGGCCCTCGACCAGGCAACCTCAACAAAGGATGGAGTGTGATCATAGGATGCTAAATGATCTTCTTGTGCCTTTCTCAAACCAGTTCGTCCAAGCCCATAGCATCGATACTGGCCATGTCCCGCGAAGCGACAACGAATTGCCCAATGTAGCTCGACCGGCCGCAGTCAGAACACCTCCGTCGGCATGCGGCCGTTCAGTCTCGCATCGAGGAGCTTTGACGGAGGCCATTCAGAAACACCAAGCCCCTGATGATATATCGCCCCTGGGCTCTTGCCCTAGCTCGTCGCCAACTAGTCAAGGACGAGACGACGAGCGCCAGACAAGCATCGCTGCAGATGACACAGCAAGTCAGCTGGATGAACCCTGCGAAGAAACGGAAAGCGACCAACTAGTCGTCGTGGTTCCGGAAAAGCGTACAACCTTCGCCCTCTCCCGCCAAAAAGGCAACTCACCGCAGAACAAAAGGACGGCGGGGTTAACGAAAAGCTTGTGTTGCGTCAGCCCAAGAAGCGTAATTCACGGCAACCAAAACATATTCAAAAAAAGTTTGGCCGCAATTGCTTTCCCGGGTCTAGCTGGTGGGAACGAAACGGAAGCAGTTATCTCACCAGCTGCTAGAATACTCGCTAAACGTGATCCCAACGGCCCTATATACGTCACCAAGGATGATCTGGATAATTTCGAGCGAAGACGGGTTATTACCGTGCTTCCGAAGCAAGCGATTAAGGTTGCAGGAAGAATCAGGTACATTATTGCTGTTCTCTCTGCCCTGCAGATTCAACAAATGCGGGAAGCGTACTTTGCTGAAGTTAGCAGACTTCGAGCGCAAGGTTTGCCCACTGAGCATCTAAGCCATAGAAATGCATTAAATGCCAGACGACAAAAGAGTAGGGAGGGTGTAACCGGCGCCACGCGTCTAGCTCTCTACTTGGATAACAATGTGGAGGTGTTCGTGGACAAGCTTGTTGCTCACCTCCTGCGACAGGATGACGACAAGACCCTAGAAACGACGGACAACACCAAATGTCTCTTGTGTTTTGATGTTTTCAAGAATATCTCTAGCCTTACAAGACATGTTAAGAGGCGCCATACTTTTGACACAGAGTTCCACTGCCCAGAATGCCGTCAGCAGGGCAGAGTCAATATTGTCCCCGCAGGCGGGCCGTCATGGAGTAGCCATGTGGAGAGTTTCCATGGCAAGGAATACACACCGAGACTATTCCCGCAGATGGTTCGGCCCGCGTACTGCCCATTATGTCAGAAGTACTTCACAAAGCTCGGGTTTCGGTCGCACTTTAATAAAGCCCCCGCTGGAAAACTCAAATTTTCGTTCAACTGCCCCGAGTGCCTTAGGAATGGGCTTAAAGACGACAGTTCGGTTATAAAAAGTCATAGCAACTGGTCCTTACATGTCGAGAACATTCACGAAGGTGGGGTGGAGATTCGAGGTGCCGTTGTTAGAGCGGGGAAGAAACGAAAGCGCTCGATTTACGACCGCAGTGCCTACGAGGTTGAGATGCAGAAGCCTCCAGACCGCCATCAGGATGAAGAATTTTGGAACTCTGGGCGAGAGTAAGCTCAAAAACTACTTGAAGTGCAATAGAGTTACTAAATTTTGCCAACCTTTCATAGATCTAAAATTACATCTTCATCTAGCTGATCATAACATGTTTGGCCAAGATTTTGCGATGTCCCTCGGTATCGCCCCACCCACTGCCGCGCGGCTTGGTTTCTTCGGAGGTCCGAGACGGCCCCATCCGGTGCTATTTTCAGCAATTACCCCGCTCTACACCGGCCGTTGCCTCCTCGTCTCCCTCGTCAGGTCCAGCAAACCAACATCGTTATCCTGCAACTATTATTAGCACGAGGAGAGATGGTATCCTAGGATATGGCTATAAATTATTGTGCTCCCTAGACACGCACTCTCATTCATCACAAAGTACAATGCTGCTCCACAGCTATCACTGAATATCGTGAACATGTCAAGCACTATCTCTCGGCCAGAAGGCTTCTGCCTTATACCACTCAATGACAAACTGTCTGTTGTTGAAAGTTGCATAATGATACTTGAAGATACGGAGAAAGCGCTGCG